TTCGTCCTCGAATTCACCTTGGTTAGGCCAAACTAGCCTGTTGGTTACTGGCTCTCTTTCTAGAGGTTGCCTTTGCTTCCTTAGAGGAACATTCGAACTGGTTTCTGCCTTTGGTTCATTGGCAGCCTCCCTCTCTGCTTTTTGTCTCCTTTGGTATCTCCTCCATTGAGATCGAGACATGGGATTTTTCCCTTTGTAGTTGCTTGACACTTGTGCAACTTTAGGTGCAGCGACTTGAGGTTCTTTCTTTTGAGTTAAAGATGAACCCCTTGGCACGTCGAAAGAGTGCCATCTCTCCTCACTTGGCCTTTTTCGACCAGAGGTTTTGTACCAGGTATCTACCGGCACATTTGTTGGAGGCCTGAAAGTCGATGGCCTCTTTTCTTGGTTTGAACCTCTTTGGGAGGCTCTTCTGGGGTCATGTCGAAGATCAACATTTTCCCTTCTCTTATTCGCTGCTCTTACGCCTTGAATGTGCTCAGCAGCTTTTTTGTCAAAGATCGAACTGCATCTTGGACACAACATCACCTCTGATTTCTTTTTCTGGCATCTTTGCAGAAAATCTGCCAGATTTTCATTTTCCCGAGGGAAAGCAGTCTTATTAGCTTGTTCTTGCCTCATGGCCTCTTCTGATGCTTTTGGGTCAGAGAGTTCGACCATGTTGATATTCATTGTATCTTTGTTGGCAAGGTTTAACTGCTTCATTTGGGTCTCCAAATTCTCCGTCTGGCCTTGAACTGTGGCCAAGTGAGAACTGGGTTTTGGTCCAGTTTTTTGTGCTTCAACGGTCTCCAGCTTTGGGCTTTCGACCGCTTTCTGAACTGCTTCAATTGTCTTTCTGGATAAATTCCCAGAAAAACTGCCAAAGATTGGCATGTTGATATGGTCCTTTGAGACTTCGACCATTGTGATTCCTGGCCTCCTCGACTGGCTCCTGGTTGCCTCTATCACGTTCACCTCAAAAGGCTCAGCATAGTGGGCTTCAGCTTGTAACGGATTTGAGTCGACAGCCATGGGGGTCTTGTCAGCAAACTTCAACCTCCCTTCTTCGATAGCGTCTTGCACAAGATTCCTGAAAAGAAAACATTGAGAAGTTTTATGGCCCAAAAAATTATGATATTTGCAAAAACCTCTCTTCTTTCTTTGATCAAGAGGAGGCACTTTTACCCCTGGGGGTACTATCATTTGGCCATCTTTTACAAGCAAGTCAAAGATCTCATCACATTTTATGATGTCAAAACTATAAGTCTTTTTGGGGAACCTATCGTTGGTCCTTTCTGGACCAATGGGATTTTTCCCACTTGAGGGGACTAACAGTTTACAAGAGTATGGTGGCCCTTGTTTTAGTTCCGCTAAATCGACTTCTCCTTCTTCGACAGTTATAGTATCGTCGAAGGATTCTGGATCTTCGTCATCCATCTCAACGTACGCTATCCTCTCTCTCTTATGAGCTTTCGTCGCCTTTGCTTTTTCAGCTTTGAGGCGTTCTACCTGTCGAACTCTATCGGCCAGTTGGGCCATGTCTCTCAGGTATTGGGTGTCTAGCTTCTTCCTAATGGAATAATCTAAACCGCCTGCGGCTATTTCGACCAACTCATGTTCTGGAACTTGTGTAAAACATCTCGCCTTGAGCAGCCTAAACCTATTTAGATATTCGTCTATAGGTTCAGTGAAACGTCTCTTTACACTGGCCAATTCTTTCAGGCTTATCTTGGTTTGCCCCATGTAGAATTGCTCATGGAACAATCTTTCCAACTGGGTCCAATGATGGATCGAATTGGAGGGAGGGAGAGTTGTAAACCAAGTAAAAGCGTTCTTTGTTAAAGAACTTGGGAAGTACTTGATCCTCAGATTTTCGTTATTCGAAATATCTCCTGCCTCGATCAAGTATCTTGCCACATGTTCGACAGTAGATTCTGTCGTGTCCCCAGAGAACTTAGTGAATTTGGGGACTTTACATCTAGGAGGTAAGTCTGTTTGTAACACGTATTCTGACAATGGGGACGTAAAGTTGGGCCTTCGAAAGCCCATGTTCATCCCATTTTGAGTCATGATCCTTTCGATCATGGTTGCCAGATTGTTTTCCAAACCCGTGTTTTGGTATTGGATATGCTGAACTACTTCGTCAGCATTTTGGTTTCTGTTAACTAACCTTACCTCTGGGGTTATTACCCTAGGTTCCTCGACGGGTTGCTCCAATCGTGCCCTAAGGTTTTCTTCGACAGGCTGCTGAACCTGATTGATGGTGGTTTCTTCCTCTAAGAATATACCCTGATTTCCCCTTATTTGCGCCCTTTGGGGCTGTCGAATAGGTTGGGGTACTCCAAAGAAATCAGCCAAACGCGTCATTTGCGCTGTCACTTGCTGATTCGATTGAGTAGTGTTTTGTATCAGAGGGTTTAGCACTGTACTCAAAGTTTGTGCCAACATTTGCACCATATCATGGTTGCTTTCGTCCATTTGTTGCCTCAAGACTGCTGTCGAGGCATTTGTAAGGCCATGGGCTACTTGGGACGTTCCTCCTAAGAGTTGGGTCCTATTTCTATTCGCCATACCTATTCCAGAACCTTGGAGTGGCGAAGAGGCACTCACTAAAGGGTCTGAAAAAGTGGACGCAGCATTCGTCAGGCTAGCCAAGTCAGAAGTTGGCATGCCATAGAGTGGTTCTCGATTATGACCACCTGTCATAAATCCTGGGGGAACAAAAGGCCTTGTGCCTAAATTTCCCCTTGGTGGGGGAGTTCCCAAAGGCACTCTGGGGCCTGTGAACGGAGGTAATGGCCCCGTTGTTGTGACCGTTACTGCTGGTGTCGAACCAGCAGTTGTCGCTTCACTTACGGTCGAGATAACCGTTGCTCCCACATTCGTTTGTGGGATTTCGTTATTGTTTGGCGGATTCGCCATCTCTTCCCTTCTTCTAACAATATTGTTATCGTTAGTGTATATTCTACCACTTCTCAATAACATACAACACTCCTCGAAAAGATGAGATTATTTTCAACAATCAACACACAGTCCCACCGGGTGTGCCAATTTGTTTACCTTGGTTATTGGTAAACAACCGCTGATCCTCCAAATGGTTACTTATTTGGTTACTCGCAGGATCGATCAGATTGATCCTAGGACATAGGTTGATTTTGAGGTTTTGATTAAATTGGATATTGGTTAAATGGCAATAAAATAAAGAGGCTTTAAATAAATTGCATGAAGAAGTAGGCTTGGTAAAATAAACGAAGGCTTAAAGTAAAGGATTTCGACAGGAAAGTAAAGAAGAGAGCAAGTAAATTTCTGGAAAAGTAAATGACTTTGATTAATAAAGTTGGTGTTTCACACATACATTTCTCAACAATTCTTTCTCACACGCTGGGTACTCGAATCTATATGAGTGACTTTGTATATAATTGTGAACACACGCGAGAAACTGCGTGAACTACTACTATTTATACTAAAACATCCCAAGTAACCGTCGGGCAGTTACACTGCTTCGAGATGATTCCACTTGGCACGTTCTCAACGTTCGACGCCCAAGATCTTTGCACGTTGCACTTGGTAACCGCTGGAAACCGTTCTCCCTCCAAACGCTTGAATTTCAAACCGTTCCACTCTGAACCATCGAACACCTTCGTCGAGAAGCATCTTCGACGAGAAACACCTTCGACGTCGAAGGCAACCAACTTCTTTCTTGGAAGAAATCTTCTAAGTACATTGCCATCTTTCGATGGCATTTCGACAGACTCAGCTGATCGAAAACAACCTTCAGCTTTAATGGCTGACATTAATGAAACAAGGGTGTCGAATTTAAGAGCCAACAAATTGCCCCCCAAGAATGCCTTATTTCGACTCTGAAAGAAAAAGGCATTCTTTGAAACGCCATTCGACACCTGTCTTTTCATTCTTAGTCACAAATTAAATTGTGCACTTTTTGTTGTCTTCTACCAACCACTGACAATCCCAAGAAAAACCATCATTTATCCGTACCTAAGACGTCACCTCAGTACGGCGTGCAGTGTGCCAAACGTCATTTCAGAATTTGTCATTATGACAATTCCCAAAAACGAGGGCGCACGCTGCACCCCTCCATTTCTGCAGAACGACTAAAACAACAGGGAGACGCCACGTGTCCCACTACCTTCTGCAACATTAAATGGCATTTAATGTCCTCGATTTTGGGGATTTTCCCCCACTACTATAAATAGCAGTAAGTACCCATTGTGGGGATTTTCCAATTGATAAAAGATATAAAAATGTTTAGTCAAATTAACTGACAAGCTATGTGCGATACAGGACCGCACTTCGAGGGTGGTGATTGGAGCGGGTGAAGAGAGGGACGAGGTCTATTGGCTTCGCTCGATGGCACCAACAACTAGATTATGTCATGCAACTGATACAAATTCTTATCAAGTATGGCATCGACGCCTTGGACATCCGTCTTCACAAATAATTTGTCTTCTTCCAGGTGTTATTAATAATGATTTTCGTAGAAATAAAGATGCACCATGTGATGTATGCTTTAAAGCAAAACAAACTCGTACACCATTTTCTATTATTCTAATAAAGCAGATGATTTATTTGAATTGATTCATTGTGATGCATAAGATCCGTATAGTGTCTTGTCTTTATGTGGTGCCTCTTATTTCTTAACAATTGTTAATGTTCATTCAAGAGGAGTTTGGATATACTTAATGACTAATAAGACAGAGGTCGGAAAACTTATTAAGAGTTTTTGTGTAATGACTCAAACTCAATAAAACTGTGAAACATATTCGAAGTTGTAATGGGTCTGAATTTACATCCTTGGGAAATTATTTTGCTGCACAAGGTATTTTATTTTAAACATCATGTGTTGGTACCCCCAACAAAATGGACGAGCAAAACGAAAACATCGTCATATTCTTAATGTGGTTCTTGCTTTTCGGTTTCAAGCTAATTTACCTATTGAGTTTTTGGGTGAATGTATTCTTACAGATGGTTATCTTATCAATTTTTCTCCTACATATGCTCTACATGGAAAAACCCCATATCATATAATTTTTTGCCACAACCCTATCTATAACCACATTAAGACCTTTGGATGCCTCTGTTATGCCTCTAAAATTCATGGTGACCGAAATAAATTTGTTCCACGCAGTAGGAAATGCATATTTATTGGCTATCCTCATGGAAAGAAAGGGTGGAGACTATTTGACATTGATACTAGGGATTATTTTAATTCTCGGGATGTTGTGTTTTATGAGAATCATTTTCCTTACAAACATTCTCATACTTCTCCTTCCACTGCTACAAAGTTTATTCATCCTACAGCTTATGACATGGAACCTATAGGTCATATAAAATCACAGAATGACACATTTTCCCCCTACATCATAACAAATTTCTAATTTAGTTGAACCTGTTGAAACACTTCCCTCTACGACTTCCTCGCATAGATACTGATATGTTAGAAGTAAGGGGGAACGATCATGTTGTGTTAGAAACATCTGTGTCATACTCCAAATTTGTATGTCCTCAGTGCTACCATCAAGTTTATTTTCAAACTTTGATTTTTATAAAATTCTTTTGATTTACATTAATATTTTGGGGTTTTGAAAATATTTGTTTTCTAGTTAATTTAAAAATATAATAATTTATTTCAAATTATTTATATTTTTAAATAGAAAATAATTGATCATCTTCATATATTTTCAATTGACTTTTTATTCCAAATGAATAACGTAGCACAATTGGTAAGAGACTAAGGCTTACAAGTGGAAGGTCCTGAGTTTAAGTCTCGTTACACTACTTTTTGTATTTATATTCTTGTGTTTTTTTTTTTAATAAAAAGAATAAAAAAAGTTATTTTTCAATTATTTTATTATTATTTTCGTTTTATATTTTAAGGGTATTTTAAAATTATTTTTTTATTTTTTTTAAATCTTTGATTTTATAAACTTAATAGTCAAGATGTTAAAAATAATTGAAATCTTTCAAAACTAATTTTTATTAATCACAAAGTCAATCACAATTTGAGAAAATCACAAAAGTGTCTAGGTTCATAATCTTGTCCTCCAAATTTCAATCTCTCAATTTGTGTAAATCTTTCCAAAAATATCATAAAAAAGGTGTTTTATAAATAGCCAAAAAAATAGCCAAAATTATTTTATATATTTTAAATTATTATTTTTCATTAAAATCATTATTTTATGCAAAAAAAATAGCCAAAAAATCTAATTATAAATAAAATCTTATTTAGTTTAAATATTTTTCAAATCTATCTTGTATCTGGTCACAAATAAGACTAGGTTCTTAGACTTGTTGACCAAGATAGAATTATAAACTTTTGGGCTTTTTTTGATGTGGACTATTTCCTTTTTGGGGTGTCTTTAACCTAATTTCAAATATATAAATAGACCACTCTTTCACACTATTTATCATCCACAATTTCATAATCATCCATAATTCACTAGAGTTCTCCTAAAGTTATTGCTCTTCACATCGAATAACAACAACAAAGAAACCCTGCAACCTCCATCAACAGACACTTATTTTAGGGTTTTGAACAGAACACCTAAAATTTTTCTATCAATAATTTTTTAAAACTTTGTTGTCTCCAACATCTATCTAAGGAGGATCTCGCCCCAAAGGAAAAAAGACGAGAACGACGAAGGAAAGAAAGAATTTCTATCATTTGCTTACCGGGAGAATCCTCGCTCCCGTAGGTTGGTCTCTCTTAAAAATCTCCATCGTAAAATTTCTTGAAATTGTTTATATTTTATTTATATTGAGTGTTTTATTGTTGGGATTCATCGCTTGTTTAAAATCTCCATGTTTGTTGTCTTGAGGTTTATTGTTTTTCAATTTAATTAATAAAACAAAAATTGCAGTATCTATTCACTACGCTAAAAAAGACTTACGAAAGCGTTTTTTTTTGGCCTTTAAAAGCGCTTAAAAGCGTTGTCTATGGTGGCGTTGCTATAGGTTTTAGCAGCGCTTTTTGTTTAATGAAAAGCGCTTTTGTAGGTCTACCTGATACAACACTTTTTCTAAAAAGTGCTCTCTTAAGTAGGCTTTTGGCAGCGCTTTTTTATGAAGAAGCGCTTTCATAGGTCTACCTAAGGCAGCGCTTTTTTCTGGAAAAGCGCTCTCATAAGTTTTCTTTTAGCAGCGCTTTTTTCTGGAAAAGCGCTGTCTTAGGTAGGCTTTTAGCAACGCTTTTTTCTGGAAAAGGACTTTCATAGGTGGTCTTTTAGCAGCGCTTTTTCCTGGAAAAGCGCTGTCATATGTTTACCTTAGACAACGCTTTTTGTGAAAAAGCGCTTTCATAGGTTACCTAAGGCAGCGTTTTTCTTGAAAAAGCGTTTTCATAGGATGTTTTATTTAGAGGTATAATTTATATAATTCATATACCTGCATTGTTTGCAGCATATTATTTATATAAACCAGTTGCCATAACCTGTAATTCATAAACCGCGGTAATGCATTGTATACCATTGTAATCCAAAATATATATACACCATTTTTGTACCTCAAAATATATAAAAACCATTGTTATTAGCATTGTAACTCAAAATCAGTCTTACAAAATCAACCCTAACAACAACTAAACCAGTCCTAATGTATGAAAGAAACACGGTCAATTATGTATTAAGGTCCAGGTCCTGCGAGGTTTGAACATAATAACACAGTCAATATGGTATTCCATGTACACATGTAACATATTCATAACACTTTTCACATAATAATGTATTCATACCTTATATGATTCTCTGCTCAATAAAATATTGACACAATTCCTCTTTGATTTCTTCCAACTGAAGTTTCGTGTAATATGCACATTTGTATTCATCGAAGTACTACATAACAAAACATAATATGCATAATTTAGTTAAAAGTAAAAAATTATATGAAATATCCGAGAAATAATAAAACAAATCCTAAGTTATAAATCCATACCGTGACTGGAATCTCTATTTGATTCAGTTGAAGGATTTCTTTGATAAACCGCATAACAAAGTATCCACAATCTATACCGTTTTGCTGTTGAGGACACTACATAGAATGTAACCTTGAAAACATCATCCCACGAGCCTGATAATAAGCAAAGAGAATAAATAGTGTCATATCGTCTTTCCAATGATAAGTTTTCGCAGAAAGATAATGAATATGGACTACGATTACTTACCATGCTGTAGAATGTAACCTGTTGCTGTTGTTCCAAGCACACCAGCAAGTACTCCAGCGGTATTGGATAGACCGAGCAGTATCCCCTAAAAAAAGAAATGAATATAGAAATCATATTTCTTTCCCTAAGGACAACAATTTAGCATAGTAAACCATCTTCTTGTTTTTGCATTCTTGTTCTGCATTTCAAATTATAATGAAACCACTTACAGAATATCGAGGGGCTATATCTTGATGGTTTAAATATAATCCAGACTGAGAGAATACATTTGTTCCCTGTTCAAGCAAAATTTGAAACAGGTGAGGCGAGGAACATGTAAGGTCAATGGAATTAATCGATTAACCAACGCTAACTAATTTTAAATGATGTTATAGCGAGAGAGAAATTTATAGTTAGGCTGTCTTAAAAGAGGTTTCAAGACACATTTGTAAAGAAAATTTAATTTTGCTGTTTAAGTTGCAGAATATGAAGCATCTGGTATGAACTAAAAACTAAGTAAAAGTTATAGAAGTGAACTCTGACTTAGGAACAATTGTTGTTAAATAGAAGCTATAACGATGCTATAGCGATAGAGAAGCAGAATTTGAACATATCACTATTGCTCCGCGATACCTATTGAAAACAAAATGTTGTCAAATAGCAGCTATAGCACTGTTGTATAGTGAAGTTTGAATAAACCATTTTTCTACTATTTGCAATTGACAACACATTTTAGGAAAATAATTAGTAGTCACAATTTCTCTAGAAAGATTTAAAGAGATGCACAACAACAAAATTTATGTTGGGATTATATGAAAATTCTTTATCAGAATAAGAAATGCATCAAATACAGAAGAAGCAAACCTGACTGTAAGTCATACACAAAACAACCATTACAGGAGAATGAATGTGGCTAAATTGAGTCAAGAAAAAAGCAGGACCTAGAAACCCAACTGTTACCATTATCTGCAAAGAAAGTGTAGAACTATAGTGTGAATCGTGGTATTAAAATATTTTATGTGCCTCTAAATAAGTAAACCATCAAAAGAATAAATTGTGAGAAGATAAATCGACGGGAGATACCTTGAGGACTGTTGTAACAGATACACCTCAGGTCACAAGAGTGTCTGCAATCCAACCACCAAAATTTGCAGAAATTGCCATTGTAAGCCATGGTAAAACACAAAATAGTCCAGATTCTGTAAGATTGAACTTCAACACCTATTATATTTGAAAATACCTCTGGTTAACTTTAACAAAGTCATTTTCTTTTGAAGCTCCAATAAGATTGCAAATAAAAACATTTTGTGTATCTTGATGTTGGTTAAAACATGAGTCAAAATCTGAACTCTACTAGCTTCAGTCTTGACAGTGCTGAGTGAGAATTGAAGCTTGATGAGTATAGGTATTTTTTCTTATGCATAGGTAAAGTTAACTTCATCATAGAAATAAATTCATGCACAAGAATGCAAAACATAAAAAGAAAAAAAATATGAAAATGAATCTAACTTTGCTAGCACCAAGTCGCTACGTAGCGAACATGCAAAGAAAAAAAGACTTACTTGGTTATAGTATGTTGGCATCCATGTAAGAAGAATGAAAGTTCCCAATTATGGCAAAAGTGGCACACTATCAGGGCCCATACTGGTGGTTTAGACAAAATTAATCTCCAAGGTATTTCCTTCACGGGTTCCTTGGACATACCGTTAGTAGCAATTAACTTCTTTTCTTCTGGAAACATTTCAGGATCATCGAGTGGCGAACTATGCGCCTATAGCTCCCAAAATAACATGGAAAATTAGCATGTGAAACAATAAATTTTCTACTTAGATAGAGCGAACTTTTTGGAAACAAAAAACAATATGTTGGTACTTGGTAGTTAGAAAACTTATAATGAAGATATCGACTTCAAAACAAAAAGTATTTCTATCGAGAAAATGTGTGTTGTGCATATATTTCCAAGTTCAGAAAGGATGCATTTATGCATGAGTAATAATACATATGTGAATTCTAACCTTATTAAGCCATATACAAAACCAAACAGTCCCTAGAGAACCAAAGGAGTAAAACACTGATGGCCATCCATACTGATGAATTAGGAAAGGTGAAAAGGCGAGTCCAGTGACTGATCCAAGGTACATGCCACTGTATACAAGAACTAATGATCTACTTCTCTCTGCCATAGGAACCCATTTTGAAAGAATATTATTCATGACCGGCATAGCAACCCCCTAGTAAGATCCAAAACAAGTTAGCTCCACATGGAAAAAAGCTATCATCCTATTGTAGCATCACCAACTATATGAATCAAATCATTACTAAAATCAGAGACAATATGGAGTTCAAAAATGAATGTTTCACTTTTATACTTTATTATAGTATATGTCCCTAGCCTAATTATGTTATATCTTTTTCCGCAACTGCAATAAATAATCGAATGGAAACGTACACAAATTCCCTCTCCTAAAGGGTAAACTTGTAACTTGTAAGACAATATCAAATGTGAACAAATTTAATATCACTACTACAACCATTTTTAAACTCCTGTGATTTAGTCAATGGAGTTATATTTAGAGATGGAGGTAACAGATGACTTGTTTTGCCAACAAAATGGAACATTTAACTACACGCACCTCACCGACTCCCATGAATGCACGGGCAACTAGTAGGAAAGGCAACCCGACTTTAGCAGCAACAGGAGTGAGGATTGTAGAGACGGACCACCAAATGACGCCGAATCCCAAAACCTGCTTCCCTCCCACTGTGTCAGCCCAAATTCCACCAGCAATCTGCAACAAGTATCTACCTATGCATCAGAGTCATGGCCTTAAGTTCAAACTTATACCAAAAGAAAAATAGCTACTAATCAAAAGCACACGAAAACCAGACAAACACATACGAGATGAGGAAAAAAATGAAACCTGATACGAATTGCAGTTGGCCGGAGAAGTGGAGCACCGTTTACTGCCGTAGAAGCTCTGGTTTAGGGTTTTTTCGTGAAGAAAATCTGACTGAGAATAGAAAAGTGATACGAATTGTGTTTTGATATTTATTATAAAATTACCTACGAAAGCGCTTTTAAAAGCGCTTTCTAAAGGTCATCTATAACAGCGCTTTTACATAAAAAAGCGCTTTCGTAGCATATCCTATAGCAGCGCTTTTAAAAGCGCTTTCTAAAGGCCAGCTTTAGCAGCGCTTTGGAAAAGCGCTTTCTAAGGCTGACCTTTAGCAGCGCTTTTGAAAAGCGCTTTCTTAAGGTACCCTCTGAAAGGCCAGCTTTAGCAGCGCTTCCTAAAAAGCGCTTTCTAAGGCTGACCTTTAGAAGCGCTTTTGAAAAGCGCTTTCTTAAGGCACCCTTTGAAAGCGCTTTTTTAAGCAAATTTTTTTAAAAACCTATAGCAGCGCTTTTTTCCAAAAGCGCTTTCTTTTATGTGCTGCTAAAACTTATTTTTGGCGTAGTGATTATAATTTGTAACATGTATATATGATTTAGGTCACGTAAAAACATATTCACTTTGCAAATAAAACAACAACTTTCATAAATGTTCTTTCTTTTAATTATTATTATTAGGTTAATTATTGCATTACAATTTTTTTAATGGTTTTGTTTCTCTTGTTTTTGTTTGTCACTTTTTAATATAAAAAAAACAAAAATATGTTAGTTTTGTTATTAGGTTAAGTGAAAAGTCGAGAATAACAAAAATATTCCTTATACATAATTATTAGGATTTTTCAATAAATTTAATAATTCAAATCATTAATCTTATACATAAATCCAAACAATTTCATAATTAAATTAATATTTTACAAAAGTATTAAAACCCTCAGCCTATTGGGCCCAGTTCAATATCTGAACTTGGACCCTATTCTTTATACACCCTTTTTTTTACCGCGTGAACAAAACAACACACCTCCTACCTTTTGGGCTTGAATTTAATATCTGAATTCAGGCCCTTGTTGTTAGCACCTCCTATTTTACCACCTCAACCTAATTAACACTCCGCTTTGCATTTTATTTTCTTTTTATTTTTATTTTATAATTTTTATATTATTATTTCCTATATTTATAATTTTAGTAATATATTAATTATTACTATTAATTATTATCGAATCAAATATCAATTTTTTAACTCATTCAAATATATTTTACCTATTGCATTAAAATATCTTTTACCATGCATTTAAATAAGAATTTTTGTAATTAGTATATAAAAAACATTTAACCAACGCCAATTTATTTTTCATAAATAAATTAATTTAACAATTAATTTTCAAAAAGCGTTACGAAGCATATTTTAATTAACTGCGTATTTGGTCCAAAATCTTTGCTATTCACACACCCGGGCTAAGTACGAGGGGAATCAAAATATCTGCATAATCCATAAAAAATACCAACCAACTACGAACTATGAATTAAGACTCTGATTCCTCCTAAGAGGATACATAGGCATACGACTAAAATTGTGGCGAGTTCTCCTATTAAAAATTAAAAACCCTTTGTACATAATTGTTAAACCTAACCCCCCTAAGCCTAGTATCCTTACGAATAAGGTAGATGAAAGGTGCCTAACACCTTCCTTTCGTCTAAAGAAGTCTGAAACTTAGAATCTCTGTTTTACAAACTAAGATTCTCTATTAGATTCCCTTCCTTAGGATAAAAACTAGTAGTGGCGACTCTGATTTTAAATCCGGTTGCAACAGTTGGCGACTCTGTTGGAGAATTCAACCCTAGGTTTAGGAGCCTTTTCCTTAGGTTTTAGGATTTTTATATTGCTGACTTTTTATTTCCTATTTATCTATTTATTTGTTTCTGGTTTATTTTATTATTCATTATATTTACTATGTGGCGGGATTTCAATTTCAAAATATATTTTCAAAAAAAAAACCTTAGATAGAAGGTTCGTCTATTAGCTTAGGGGATATATCATGCCTGCGAGTTTATGTGACGACTTCTCCTAGAGTCAGTGGAATTCCGCAAAAGGAATACTTATCGAGAGATATCCTCTTGACAAGTAGGACTTTAGAATACCACCCGTGACTCTTTGTACAACCCTAAACAAAAACTCACGAGGAGACCTTTCACGACCTAGAGACGAAAGTCTCGGTCTGTAAAGAGGCTCCACCTAAGGGAGGCCCTTGTGCCTTTTCCCTCTGGTGTTATTCATGACACCCTTAAGGAAACCACCTTATGGGGAGGGTAGACTATCCGTAGTCCGAAACTAGGAACCTACCAACTAAGGATATATTTTATAATACCATCCCTAAACCCGCAAGGGTTACTTTTGGTATACTATGATCCCAAACCTGTAGGGTTTATCTTTCGTAAGTCATAACCCCTAGCTTGTTGGGATTCCTCAACCGCCCATTAGTATATTATAATTCCTAGCTTATAGGAATTCTCGTCCCTCAATTACAATCCCTAGCTTGTAGGGATTCCTCTTCGTCTTCTATGGTTTTTAATCCCTAAAGAATTCTTGCCTTTCTCAATCTCCGAGACAATGTAGGATATCATCAAATTTATGTCTTTTATTTTCTTCATCCTCAAGGAGTATCTGCCTATCTCAATCCCTCAGTCAGTGTAGGATATCATTATTTCCATATCTACCACTAAACCTCTATGGGATACCCCCTACGTCTATCCTCATACTACGTCTGCATCGCATTGCATATCCATGAAACTTTTTTGCATACCCAAAAGCCAAAAATATTTTTGCATACCCATGCATTTACATACGCCCATACATTTTCATCTCATGCATTTCTACCTTTGCCATTATCCAACTATCATCTATTAGAAAGTTTCCTGATACTCGCAAGTGAACTAAAAGAGCTATGGAGAAATTCAAGAGATACAAGTCTTATTGGAAAGAGAAGGCATCCCTTCACATGTCATTAACAGGCCTACACAACGCCTCAAATATCACTACCATTGGTGATTCCTCAACATCAAGAGTAACTTCCCTATCAACAGAATTGGTATGCTCAAGAAGAAGTCAAGGGTCACCCCCATGCTTTGACAAGTGAAAAAACTACGAAGCATCCCTTAAAGACAGTGGATCAACAAAAAATCTCATCTCAAAGATCATCAGACTTTATCAAATTCAATTTGTAAAATCCAAGTTCCTAGGTTGTATTTGTTGTAAATTTGTATCTTTTGATTAGTA